CTCAACTCTTGCCAATTTTGATTACTAACAGGACAACTGCAGATAGTTGGTGTAACATAGGTATTTAAATGTCTACTTAAAAAATAAATAAATAAATCAGGTTTCTTAATGCTATATCTGTTCAGGACATAAGTTATGGCTCTCTGCAGCATCCTTTTCATTTATATCTAAATTACCATGTTTGTTCTTGAAAGGCAATGGCTTCCTATTGCATTCTCCATGATTTTGAATTCAGACTTGTCTTTTCTCAAACTGGTTGTTCTATTAATGTAAAAGAGCCCAGTTTGCCCTACTATTTTACATGTGGTTGGTATAGGGAGGTAGGGTCATGACTTTCCCCAGGAACATGAATGACATGTGAACAGCAACAACCTTGACTGGAATTTGAACTCTGTTGCTAATTCTATTTTTCACACTACTAACCATCCAAATTATGAAGTACTTTAACAATTAATATTGAGAAAAGAATAGACATTTAAAATGAAGTACTTGTACGTCTCTGTATTTGTAAAATTCACAATAACCAGAATGAAGAATCATAAATACTAAAAAAAAAAAAAAAAAAAAAAAAAGGTCTGAATTTTGGTTAATGATGAAACTAAGATATTTAAAAAAAAATAAGAATACAGTGATTTTAAAAGTAAATTGTAAACTATTATCAGAAAACTGCAAAAAAGTAATTTTGCAGTTTTTTATTTTAAAAGTAGATTATGCAAAAATCGAATATATATATATATATATATATATATATATAAAAAATTAATTTCAGGAAATTATATTAAATTTGCATGAATTTGCAGGCTTTAACTTTTCAAATCATTGAGGAAAATTTATTCATGCTATGCTATTCAGTGTTACACAAACTATGTTCTTTTCCTTCGCTCAAAGCAATTGTTTCTTAATTTGAGAGATTTACATATGCTGTAGATATCAGTGAAATTGTCATAACTAAGGTAGTTTGATAAGTTTAATCATTTTGGGAGTATTTTTTTTTAATTTTGTATATATAGCATGTTATGTCAAAATATATATTAGATTTTCAAAATAAAGTATAAAAAATGCCAAAACTGCTTGCTTTTAGTCCCTTTAGTCCCAAGCTGTGGTCTAAATATTAAGTTTGTTACCACTTTCAGAGCAGAAAATGACTATTTGAATTACTAAGCAATTTAATTAGAGAAACCATAAACAAACAGTTGCTTATTTATAAAGCTCACAAAAAAGTAGTCACCAGATGTCTATAGAATACGATTACCAGTAAATTTTACCAGTATGTTCTCTAGTAGTCACCAGATGTCTACAGAACATGATTGCCAGAAGATTTTACTAGTATGTTCTCTCGTAGTCATCAGGTGTCTTTCAAATGTGATTACCAGACAATTTTCTTTAATTCATAAGCTAGTGGTTAAAAGTGTGTACTTTTCTTTTCAAAATAATTTCAGTTTGCTAGTAGACAGGTTAATTAATAGATAATCCTATAAGATATCAACTTTTTGAAAAGTTCATAAATGAAAGATCGAGTAAAAGATATTTCCAATTCAATTAGAACATTGTAATTTTGTAAGTGAAATAAAGGGTTCTATTAAAAAAAAATTCTTAAAAGTTAAATGCAATAGACTCATGTAAAAGTTTGAGGAATTCACTACTCAAAACATTAGGAGAAAAGCAACAGTAAAAGGAAGAGATAGAGAGAAGTAATTTGGCTAATGGAGAGTCTCTGCAGATTTTTCCATTCCATTTCTTCCAGATGATGAGAGCTTGCACTTATTGACAAGTAGTAGTAAAAAGAAACACAGCCATTATCCATTTCAATGAATCACAAAAAGAGACTTTGCTGGACACTTGAATAACCCATGACTAGACAAAGTCATCCAGGTCCTGATAGGCTATAGTTGGAGTGGACAATGGAGGTTTTCACTTTAGCCATATGCATCACTGGCTACACAAACCTATTCATAAATGATTAAAACTTTCAATTTAAAAAAAAACAAAAACATTGTCATAACAATAGCAAAAACTTTACAACTTCTTTAAGTTTATTAAAAAATGCAATAAAATGGCATACTCATATTTTTTAAGCCTTTGACTGAAGTTCACTAAGTTATTTCAATGACAAAAATAACCATTTCTGATTCTTTGACAAGTTTATCCATGGAACAATAGGCTAGTTGATTAAAGCATTGGTTCATAAATTTGGTAACATAGTAATTGTGAGTTCAATCTCTGGGTTTGATAGTACAGACTTAGATGTAATGAAAACATGATGAGAAATAACAGAACAGTACTAAATAAGAACAAGATGAAACAGATATCACTAGACATGGAAAGCAAAATGAGAACAATCTACTCTTAAAGATTAAACTAAGGGTTCAGTTTGAAATTCCCTGAAGGTTACCTTGGTTGACAGACTTGAAGAATGCTGAAGGGCACAATGAATGAAATGCTGTGATGATAACAACAACAAAGATGAGGATATCATTGTGAATGTAAAAGTGGTCATCATAAAATTTAGAGAAACCTGATAAAAATTATTTGTTCTGTTAGAAAGTTAACCTTAAATTTTGCAACAAAGCACAAAATATATGCCTCATTTTGAATGACATTCAGTCTAAGTAACTGCAGCAATAATAATATTCTATGGATAAAGACAAGTGAAAAGATAAGTGCCTCGGTGGTTTATTCAACTTAAACTTATGCATCAAGTTCAAATAGTCTGATACATTGGTGTAAACCATTTGATTAAAAGCTGACAGCTCAAAACAATCATTCTTTAGTTTCAACAGTTCAGACTTCTTCAGCTATGGCCCACTATACCATGTAAGCAATCTAATCATTCTCATCATATGCCACTGGTAAGAAAAAAAGAAAAAAAAAAAAAGAAAGAAAAAAAGTAACCTCTACTCAGCTTCTTTCTAAGAACTGCTACTTTGTGAAAAGACTCTTGAAATGATGATTTCCTGATCACTACAATCTTAACCTCTTTAAGTTTAGAGCCATAATACATATCCGCATGATTTGCACTTACTTCTTCCTCTTAGTTTCATTTAACAATCTCCTTCAGTAACACTACCTTGAATGACTCTTAGGCCTTGGGCGAGCATTTTAGTATAAAAAAATTTAAAAAGATTAATTGTTACTCAATAAAGAGATATATATCAACTGTTTTTTTTAAGATTAAATCCAATAATGTTTTACTTAACATGATTTATTTATATTCTTCATTAGATATCAATTAAATGTCTGTCAATAGTATATAGTATATATTACACTATCATTTTCATAATTATCTAAAAGAACAATTTTTATCGATAATATTTGTGATTAGGAGGTTATTTCTGTTATTACAATCTCTACATTGAATCACATTGCTTAAATTAACTAGAACATGTTAAAAATACTTTTTGCAATTGCTATTATAAAGTCTACCAACAAATGACAAATACGTGATTTATTTATGTATTTTTGTTTTTATTAGAAATGCAATTATATGCTTATCAATAGTATATATCATGTTGAACAGACCATCAAACTATCACCTGTATAATTATCTGAATAACATTTTGGTCTGATAAAACTAACTAAAGCATCTTAAAAAAATAATTTTACAATTGCTATTATAAAATATACTATCAAATGATTAATATGAGAAACAGAATCACTGATTAACCTTAAACTTTTCCACTTCATGACATTTCCACATAGCATTTGTCATCATTTATATTGTATTCCAATAACTTTAAAATTGGTTGCAAACAATGGAACAAATTCTACTGACAATTAATGTCTGGCTGCTTGTTTCCATGTATAGCCATTTACTAGTGTAGCTATCTAATCCCTGTTGCTCAGGTACATTTGTGTTTCTTCAACACCCACAGAGCCAACTTGTGTTTTGTACAGCAACTATACTGAGTAGACCTTAGTTATATTGTCTGGGAGAGAATGCATAATCTGGCATGATGAGTACTTGAACAAATCCAGTACGCTCAAACCTTCAGTCAGGAGGACTAGTGACTATGCTGGCACAATTAGTAATAGCTTCCAAATAATTCCTCTAGATAATTTCATTAATAAGACTTAGGTTAATCAGTGGTGTGGTTTTCAGGCACTTCCCAATATTGCTTCATGCCAGGATCATCATCCCAGAACAATATTATCAAGAAGTTATCTCCTTTATAAACCGACCATGGTGAGATTTGAACCCATGTCTTGTGGTCAGAACAATAGTGTTCTACCCACTCAACCACACACCTACTAAATAATCCTGTAAGAACAAACAAGTTTTTTATCACACCAAAAAGCTTAAAAAGAAGCATTAAAAAAGAAAAAAAATGATTCTTGATTTTTTCTATCATAGCTATCAATGATGATCTCTTGTGTCTTCTTCTAACTCTATATATATATTATATATATAAAAAATTGGTTTTAAAGAGCACTCCATACTCCTGAATCTGTGTTGATAGCTTGGCTCTCTCCACAATAGCAAAATCTAGGACATTTGTTTTATCTTTATTGTTAGATTATATAATTGAATATCTGCTATTCCATTATTCAGTACCTCGTCTTCCCAAGATTAATATACATAATAAACAAGTTTAAGACTTTGCTAGTCTATTTTTATGATCCTTGCTAAGCCTCAAAGCTTCTCTAATCAGTCACATTGGAACCAACTTTCAAATGTTTTTAAATAAAATTTTACCTATCGCATTATCTTTGATTTAATCATTAAAAACTTGTCGATTTTCTTCAGTTAAAATGCTTAACACCAATTGTATAATTTCAGAAGTGCAGAAAATTGTCTGCTCATTCTAACAAATTATTTTAAGATATAACTCATGCTAGGAAGCAGATAAATGCCTTGCTAATAAAAAAAAAAAAGAAAATGGATTAAATTCTAACATGCTATTTAGCAATAAAAAAATGGTTAAATTGGCTGAGGGCTAAAAGTGAGGAAGCTGTGCATTAAGAAAAATGGCCAAAATTGGGCTCAAAACCACAAAGGATACCAGATATCGGATCTCTTCCATGATGATGTTGCTTTTTTCCTCATCATTTGCAAGCAGCCG